TCCCCCGGGCCCCCTTGGGAAAAAATGCCTTTAAAGAGTTTAAAATTAAATTTCCCAAATTTAAAATACCTTTGTGGGTTTTAAAACATTAAAAGTTGAAAAGCAAAACTTTTTCCCCAAAAGGAATTTTTCAAATTCAAAAAAGGGCAAAAAATTCTTGTTAAAATTAAATTTGCTGGGTTTGGGCCCTTGGAAAATTGGAACCTTAAAAAATTTGGGCTTTTTAAAATAAAGTGTGTGAAGTACAAACAATATCGTAAGTGGTTCAGGGGATTTTTGATTTTTGGCGAAAAAACCGAAACCCCAAATTGTTACCCCAATTGCTAAACTTAAGGGGTTTGGGGTTAAGGATAGCCCCCCCTATTTTTGGGAAAATTTGCAGACTGTAAAGGGTTTAAAGGGAATAAATCTTTTTAAAAATATAATTTATAGTTTCCCCTTTGAATTTAAAAAAAAGACTTTTCCATATTTTTTTAAAATTTAAAAAGGGAAATTTTAAAAAATTTTTTTTTACATTAAAAAAAGGATTTCAAATAAAATTTTTTCAAAAAAATTATGTAGAAAAAGTTTCAAAAAAGGAAAAGGGCCCCGGGTTGTTCAATGAACGAAACCCCCCAAACTAAACCCAGAAACAAAAACGGGCCAGAAAGGGACCCAATTGGGAACCTTTTAAAATTTGGGGGAAATTATTTTATTTTCTGGAAAAATTTGGGAAATTTAATATAAAAAAAATTTTAAAAAAAAAATTTATGGAAAAATGAAAAAATTTTCTTGACTCCCTCAAAAAAGGGGCAAAAATTTAAACTAAAATTTTTCCCTTTCCCCCTTATTGTATTTTTAATTTAAGGGGTTTATGATCTAAAAATTTGGTTTAAGCCCAAAATTTTGAAATGGGGCCCCTTTTTTAAAAAGCCTTAGTTACCCCCAAAACCCTGTGTCTTTTTAAAAAGAAAAGATTATAAAACAGACTTTTTGTTTTGGGCATAATTGGTTCCCATTGTTTTAAAAAAAAAGTTTTTAAAAAATTTTACAAGTTTTCAGTTTTTGGGTTTTTCCAAAGGGGGGCAAAAAAAAGTTATTTTGGGTTTCCCAAGGGGGCTTTTTTCCCTTTTAACCAAAAACCCCCCCAAAGGGTTGTCCCCGGGGGGTTTTTTATAACCCGTTAAAAACCCTATAAACCCAACCCTTTACAAAAGATCAAATCTACTTTTCTTTTTTACCTGTGGGGTCTGATTTTCCACTGTTTTTTTTGTTTCCCCCAACCCCATTGTTAAAAAAAGGGGGTTTTTCCCCCAAAAGTTTAGCTATTTTTTTTCCCTTTTAAAATTGGGCAATGAAATTTAAAAACCCTTTCCTTTACTGTATTTTTTTTTGGGGAAAAAGAATTTTTGAAGTAATAGGGAAAACAAAAAACGGGGAAAATAATAGCCCTAAATTTTTAAGGGTTTCAATTTTTTTTGGATTTTTTACGGGGGGTCTCCCAGGCTTATGAAAAACGCCTGTTTTTTTTTTCCCAAAAAAACCAAAATTGTTTTTTCCACAAAATTTTAAAAAAAAAAAAACCACAGGGGTTTTTAAAGTTTTGGGGAAAAGTTTCGCGCTGATTGCTATTTTTTAAAAAGGGAAAGGAAAGGTAATTTTCTATTGCTTTTTAAATTTCAGATCCAAAAAAAAAGGGGGGTTTTTGGACTATGAAAAAAAGTCCGTATTTGGTTAAATTTTGGTTAGTTTGTCCCAAGGGGGTTGGGGGTTTTTAAAAAATTTTTTTGCCCAAAGGGAAAGGTTTTTTTGGGTTTTTAAAGGGCCCTTTACTTTTTAAGGGTGCCCAAAGGAGGAGGGGGGGGGGGTTTTTTTAAAGTTTTAATTCTAGGGAAAGATGCCCAAAGGGGGGTAAAATTTAAATTTAACCCTTTCCCGGGGGGTTTATTGAAATGTTTTTTTTCCCGAGGGGGGGCCTTTTTGACCCAAAGGCCCTCTTAAAATGGGTTTTGCCCAAAGGGGGTCTTTTTTTAAATAGTAATTTTACCGGGAAAAGATGTCCCTAGGGGGTAAAATTTTGTAGCTTGTCCAAAGGGTGGTTTATTAAAAATTTTTTTTGCCCCCAAGGGGGGGTTCATTTTGAGCAAAAGTCCTCTTCCCATAGGTTGGTTCCAGGGGTGTATTTTTCATTTAGTAATATACCTATGGAAGATTGTCCTAGGGGGTCAATTTTCTGTAGCTTTGTCCGAGGGTGGATATTTTGAATGTTTTTGTCCGAAGGGGGTCCCATTTTGAGCAAAAGTCTCTTCCATAGGTGTGCCCCAGGGGGGGTCTATTTTTAATAGTTTAATATACCTAGGAAGATGTCCATAGGGGTCAATTTCAAAGCACGTTTTTGTGCCGCAAATGGGGGATATTGTTAAAATTTTTTTGTCCAAAGGGGTCCATTTTGCCAGAAAACGTCATTTTGGCAAAAGTCTCTTCCATAAGGTTGTCAAAGGACGGCATTTTTTGAATCAAAAGTCCCTCTTCTATTAGGTTGTCCCCCATTGGGTTATTTTGGGGCAAAAATCTTTACATTTAAGGTTCGTCCCAAGGGGGCCCTTTTGATTTAAAGGTTTTTTCCCATTAGGGTTGCCCGGGGGGGGTAACTTTTGGTGTTTTTTTCCCCTAGGGGGGTTTTTTTCATCTAAACCCTTTCTTCCTTTGGGGGGGGGTCCCCGGAAAAATTTTTGGGAAATACCCCAAAAATTTAAAATTCTGATGCATGGGAAAAACCGGGAATTTTTGGGGGTTTGCCCAATCCGTTTTTCCCAAGCTTTAAAACTAAAAAAAATTTCCCCAAACCAAAAAAAAAAAGGGAAAAAAATTATAAATTTTTTAGCCCTTTTCCTTCTTATTGTCGGGTTTCCCAGTTTTTCAAAAATTTAAAACCCAGTATTTTCCCTTTTGGGCCCCCTGATACAAAATTTTTCCCCTTTTTTCCCTTTGGGGTTTTAAAATTTTTTAAAAAGGTAAACCCCGGCCAGGGACTGTTTTTTCCCAAGAGATTTTTTAAAAATATTTGTTTTGAACAAATGAATTGTGCTAGTGAAATGTCTTTTGGGCTAGTGAATATTCCAATCTGGTAGTCCGACTAGCCTAGTGGTTTCAAATCCGAATTTCTTACACTGTGCTCCTTTATTACAATCATTTAATACAAATGATTAACTATGAATCAGTCATCAAATGAGTTACACAGGGCTCACACTGGCTCAAATAAAATAATAGCCAATATTTTCAACTTAAAAAAATAATAGCCAAAAGTTCAGCGGAATATTCACGAATTAGCGATTAACAACATAAGCAGTTGATTAAATAAACATTACATTTATATGACACTTTTTCAGTTTTATAAGGATTCTCAAATAAACTGATACATTTGTGTATATTGATAACTACCTTTTTTAAAAATAGAACCACAACTTTAATTTTTATTATAGAACAGAATAAAAACGTTAAAATTAGTATAATTACTGTATAACAATAATATTAAAGATTCATTATAACTTTACATAATGCTGTTGTCAGACAACTTCTTTTGTTTGTTCTAATCAAATTTTGTCAGCTATAACCACTGAATAATTTTCTACATTTCACACAGAACTGGAGTAGATCTTAGGTCATATTAGCCTATAGAAATAACACAAGTTTGCAAACTCATTCACAGAATGCAGCCTTTTTATCTGAATAATTTTACTAAAAAATATCATCATCACCAATGCTAATACAAATTTTCTGTCATAGTAGTAAAGATTTTTAAACAGAACATAGCTTTTTCACCTTTAAATAAATATCAAAATTATCGGTGTCACGAAAAATATGTTGACAATTGGATTTTTTTCCTGTTTTTTCTGAAGAAAATATTCACAATTTTCGTTTGTTGTGCAAATAGTTGTTTGGAAGTTTATACTTTTTAAATATATTTTACCATTGTTTTCCACTGGCGATTTAGTCAAGTAGCTTAAAACAAAAAAAAAATCAAAATTTGCAATTATTGCAATTCACGGTAAATTTTGGGTAAGTCAATATCCATTTTATCAATTTTAAAACGATTTTTGTGGCTAATTGACGAATTTTTGATGGCTATTAAAAATGCTGGACAATATCTTTAAAGTACTTATACAATTATACATCTCGCATGTATTTTATTACCTCGGGCAATATAGTAAGCAGCACGTACGTGACCGGTAAAAAGTTGACACTCCACTAAATGCACCCCGCTGGTGTTAATTAGGTCTACTGCATTCTTTATCGATTTTTACACCTTATATAAACACTGTTTGAAGTAAAAAAATAATCGCCAGATTTTGTAGCCAAAATGCAAAAATAATCGCCAATCTTATAAAATAATCGCAAATGGCGACTATGGCGACCGACAGCGTGAGCCCTGGTTACATTAAATACAAATGGTTAATTCTAACTCTGTCATCCAATGAGTGAGCGTGTAGTGTTGTATTTTCAATAAAGAAATCAAAATGGCTTCAAACATCAATGTAGAAAAATAGAAAAAATAAATCTAAAAAGTCCTCAAACAAAACTTATATAAAGGGTACCAGAACATTTATGGTTTAGCAAAGGTAAGGAATCTGTCAAAGGAACATGTAAGATATGTTTAGTGGAATTGTCATGTTAGACAAAGTCTGTAAATGTGGCTTACTTAATCAAGTTAATGCAACACATTTTAAGAAATTCAAAGAAAGCATGATTTTAATGTGTTTAATAACTTATTTAATAAGCCTAGTTTTAGTTTGGAAAATGTTGGATCTGTATGTATATACTAGTCATGAACCGGTTACATTGAAATCTTATTGAAATTGTTTTCACAATAGACGAGCGCTTTTTATTTTCATAAACACTACTAGTAATAAAATAGTCATATAAGTTGAGATAATTGCTCCAAGTCATATCTAGTGTGTCCATACCTTTGTTAAATATTTTTGAATTTAAATTCTGTTTTCTGGCACAGATTGTTACTTTGAATTGAATTGTTTGTGTTGAATTTATTGCAGAAGTTGGAAAGATGTTATGGTATAGTGAATTCATTGGTCAATGGTTTGTCGGAAAGGGAGGCTAATGATGCTCTCAACACATACGTAAGTTATTTAAGATCTATAAATAGCTGAATTTTCTTTCATAAGATCTATTATATAAGTAGATGGCTCTTGTTGAACAATGAAAAGGCTTTTAATTTTCATCAAATTTAAAGATAAAAATTGCATTGCATATATCAATGTCTTAGAAAATTATATAACATGATAATATTACTTTGTACGAATTTCCCTATTCATGTTGCAGGTATGCAAAGGTTCACAGAATCATGAGGAGGTTCAACTTGGATTGTTCTATGCTATACTGACAGCTCCTAATCCTACACTGGCACAGAAGGTTTGCTTTAAGAATACTTTAATTTGTATAACTCCTTAGTAGTCCTTACACAATTAAGGAGCTCCACTGAGGTCAAAAAGCTTAAAAGCATAAAGTTTGGAATTCTTACATAGATCAAGTAAATCACTTAAAATGGAGAAATAAGAGACAAAAGAAATACTCGCGGAATTAAGTTGAATATTGAACTTCTGTGCAATTCTTAGCCCGATTTTAGTGAAAAGCATTGTAACAGTTGCTTTACAGTTTTGGGTCATTTTACTCAATAAAATGATTATTTTGGAAAATGGGTCGAGGGAATGATACGAAAATTTGCACACTAGTTATCTATACAGAACTGCATTAAATGGGACACAAATCTTTGGGGGGGGGGAATATTTCCAGGTATGTCATGTCAAGAAACCTCAGTGGATTCCTTGTAATGACATAATCTGGATTAATTTTAACAAACTTATGTCATTTCAATTTTTGTTACATTATTAGTCGTCAGTGATCATAGCTAAATAATTTGTCATTTGTTTTCAGAATTACAGAGATATTCATTTAGTGAATAGGGATGGTTTTAATACAGTGTTAAATAGATTGAATCAGTTGATATATGAGAAATGGTTGAAGTTAAAGGACATTGGGAGGGCTCAGATACTGTGGCTGGTGCGAGAAATGGTGAAAAATTCTGTAACAGGAGCTGATTTAGCAGTGAATGGCTTAATGAGACAAATAGCAGGTGAGAGGGCTTAATGCTTAACACAATGCTCAGTAGTACTGAATAGTAATACTGTCATTTAATTGTTCATACTGTCATACTGTCAGTCAATTTTTACCACTTTCATTTGTATCACTGTCTGTCAATTTTAATGCAGTCAAATTAAACACTTGTCGGTCAAATTTAAAACATTTTGTCAATTATCAACGCTGTCAGTCAATTTTTACCACTGTCAGTCAATTTTTACCACTGTGTAACACTGTCATTCAGTTGTTTACACTGTTGGTCACTTACTTATCTTGTCAGTCATTCCCTTGCACTGTCAGTTATTTGCTTACACTGTTCAGTGTTAGTTATGACTTACACTGTCAGCCACTTACTTACCCTGTCAGTCATTAGCTTACATTTCCTTACACTGTCTGTTATTTGCTTACACTGTCAGTCATTTCTTTACACTGTCAGTCTTGCTTACACTTTCAGTCTTTGTCAACGCTAGGGTATTTTTACCCTGTCAACGGGGACATACATTACACCTCTATTTTCAAACAAACATTGTTTTTGCTCAATATGTACTATGTACTGTAGATGATTACTGTAATATCATAAAAAGTAATTATGCTAATTCTCATAAGGGTATAAATTTTTCAGTTATCATGTGTTATTATGTATACTGTTTGTTTTATTTGATTACAGGAGGAGATATAACACCAAAAAACGTATGGCTTGCTGAAACATTGCTTGATGTTCTCTCTGAATACAGGTATGTCTTTACTCAACCCATAACCCACTGAATTTGTGTAATGGACTTACCCTGCTTTGAATTTGGACCAGTCCATTTTGAATTTAAAGGGATTTTATTAATGAAATACAAAAAAGAGCCGCAACAGCAAGAGCCTTGTAGGAATGCATAGAGAAATACAGTGACTGGCTCTATACTTTGGTAAATTTAAAGGTGTTAAAATCAGCTGAAAAAACCAGATGCAACAAACTGAACAAATCGTTATTCATCTTTTTCTTTCTATCCAGTTGTGTACATATCAGAACAAATATACATATATGAAATTAACAATAATATATACCCTGACATTTAGTGCTTCTTTTTCAACTTCAAGAGAAATATGTCATTAATGAACCTTTAGTGATAAATTAATCATAAAGCCATCTGTTACCAGAAGCTTTGTTTTATATGTTTTATTCTTTTATCAATGTTTATTCATCATTAGCAAAATGAGTGTATTAATTGGATACTACAATTGCACCTTAGCGCATTTTGTTTTGTTATTTAAGCTTTGATAACTTATGTTCAAAGCTCAAAATTTTCTTTAAGCACTTTTATTATCATAAAAGCAAGTCTTTTTTTTTTCTTAATTTATAAAGTATAATGGCATTGTATATTGTGACAAAAGAACATAGATTGATCCTCTTAAAATGTACCAAATTGTTAGTAACAAATATATGTTATATGTTCTCTATAATTTAGAATGGATTTAAAAATGAAAAGAAAATGAGACAAAATTTTTGCTAGTAAAATGGCATTGTCTATTGAGATTTTTTGCTAAAAATGTACCAAATTTTTAGTAACAAATATATGTTATCCCTGAAATACTAAAAGTAAAATATGATGTTTGGTTGTTGTTTTTTTTCTCTATAATTTAGAATGAATTTAAAAAAGAAAATCAAGACCAAGCTTTGGCTCCAACAATTCTAAATAAAGGCCTTGAAGATTATAACCGAATCATGAATTTATTGATTATCCAGACTGACAGCATTAAAAAATGAAATTGATTTAAAATTAGAAGTTGTGGATTAAGATCACATTTCAAATGACATCATAACAAACCTCTTGTACTACTGTTATTGTAGTATTATGTTAGATAGGAGTTTATCACAAATCACTGACTCCTTCCTGGTTTCCATGATTTTCCCCTTCCTTGTTTCATTTGTTTGATATTGTATTAGATGACCTATATAGGCCTATTGCCAATATATATGTCCAAGATTATAAAGAAATGTTTTAAGCTCAAACTCAGATCTATTATCTCAGGTATTTGATTGGTCAGAATCCTGCACAAAATGTACAATGTACACTGGCAAATAGAAATCCTGAGAGTCAAGACAAAAATGTTTTATAATTTTGAGGTCTCACTCTGAAATTGTGTTTCTCAGTCGCCATGTGGTTAAAGTCAATGATTTCAAATCACTTGCGCCTCATGGATGTAGGTTTGAATCCCATCAGGGAGTTTGGATTCTTTTATGTGGGGAAGGTATCAGGCTAGCTTATGGCAGGTTGGTGGTTCTACTCAATTGCTAGTTTGTGCCAGAAATAATGTACAAAGGGACACCTCATGTCCTCCACCAAGCTGGAAAATTGCCATAATTATGACCATTACAGTCTGATTTTTTTTCCTAGAAATTAGGAGGAGGCTCAAGCCTTTAATTTGAAAAATTCAATCTCAATAATTTATCAAATTTGGTAATAGTGGGATGATACAGTACAACCTCTGCAGAATGGCCCCTCTAGAGCAGTTGGGAAAAAAATTGAATGACTAACAACAAACAAAAAGTACATTTGTGTCATTCAGTACTACAATGTTAGTGGTCCGTAAAATTCTCAAGTATTTACAAAACACATTCTTATATTAGGGAAACATGCAAAATTTAATTGGGGAAAAAATATCTTTTCTTTTTTAAATGGGAAGCCGCCCATTTTTGGCCTCATTTGTTTATTAAGGAAAAAAAACTGACAGTGTCACTGTGACTTCAAATCCAACTAATTAATTGCTCTAAAATAACATTAATCATACTTTGCTGGATGTACCAGGATTTTCCTCTTCCTGGTTCAATTGAATTGATGAAACATGTAAAGTAAAACAATACAATACAATACACTTTATTCAGTTTTTAAATAACAATATTTTATAGCACCCGTATTCAGCACAAATGCATGGCAAATGGTTTAGACATGGTATACAATATTGCCAATGTATAATATTAATCATACTTACAAAGAGACTTAATTTAAAAAAAATTCACAGAACAAAAATAAACATATTCAAATATTTATTAAGTGGTTTGGTGACTTTGTGGCAAAATAATATATTTGGCCAAATTCATTACATTAATTATCTCATTTGTTTACAATAAAATTTCATAATTCAGTAATGCCTATCTGAAAAAAATATACATTGTATTTCAAAATATTAATTTTGATCCTTTGATCACTGTATACTGTAGATATGAGAAGAAAAGTGTTATTCAGATTCTATGACTCAAATTAAACATCAATTGCAACATTTCTCAGAGTACTTTAGTCTAATATCTCCCAGTAACATATTATCATGTGTCTCCCCTTGCGGCTAATGGTTAAGACATCAGAATTGTAGCCACCGTTAATCCCTGCGTCGTTATCGTAAGAGGCGACTAAATGGGTTCTAATAACTGGAGTCTATGCATCTCTTAGCTTCAGCAGATGAGGTAGTTTTGACCACTGGTGTTGCTTTTAATTTGTTACACCCAAGGTAAGCCAAAAGCATTTTTCCTGTTTCAGCCCCATGTTGACCTAAATTGTGTAGAGGCACTGTAATACCAAACAAACAAAATTATCATGTATCCTATGTTATCTTGTTTCAGGAGTTGGCTTGACAAGTTCCCGGCTCTTATACCAATGACAGTGTATACATACCTACGTGTGATAGTTGACCACACGGGACAGATATTTCACAATCTGAGACAGAGGGAGGCGGAGTTTATAGCATCACTAGTCAGGGATAAGGTATGCTCTAGCCCTTTTAATCTGCTGTAACCAAAAGTAATTAGTCATGGCTACCAGTATGGAGACATCCCTTTGTGTGTCTGACTAAGCTCTGTACTGTTTGCTGACCACTTTTGAGCTTTCATCTTGATATCCCCAAAATTGATAATGGCCAGCTCCAAAAATGGAAGCAAGAAATGTCGTTTCAAGATATTTGTCGGGATAAGACTGTAAACTTATTTTAATTTATTTTATTTAGTGATTTCTTATGCTTGTTATGTGTGTAATGAATGTATTAAGTTTTGCAGTAAACTGGTTAAATTTTTTTAAGCTGTGCACATTCCTCCAGATGATCAAAAATATTTCAAGAAAATTAGGCTTGAGAAAAATGTACCAAGATTTTAAGAAAATTAAAAATATTCAAAATTGTCAAAAAAAAATGTCTTAGTATTGTATATTTTAGTGGACCGATTGTTTGGTCATTGGCCGGGATCTGGTTAGACTGTTACAGAATGTGGCAAGACTTCCGGAGTTTGAGTCTTTGTGGAGAGACATGATGTTAAATCCGTCTGTACTTTGTCCACAGTTTACAGGTAGCTATTTTTAGTTTAAAATATTTATTTCGACATAAGAATTATTGTGAAAGCTTGAAGCTGTTTTTGAACCACCCTTGATTTTCTTTGATTTTGAATGTTCTGTAAATTTCAAAAACCACACCTGGTAAGGGCTATTACTGCAGTGATTTTTTTGTGTTAAGTTGAGCCAAATAAGTTCTATATTTCAAAAGATTGATTATTATAATGGTCATTGACCAAAAATTAATTATAAAAAAAAGTTGAATGATAAATACAAAAACTTCCAAAAATATTTTTAAAAAAGTCTGCCCCATTTAAACCTTACAGGTACTTTCTGAAGGATATTTGTAGAATTTTCCATGAGTCATATGTGTTACTTATTATTTTTGTTAGGTAGAATACACAGCTAAAAATAATTACCGGAAAATGTAAAGTTTTTCTGGCTTTTACCAGATAGATGTGGCCTAGTGGTTAAGATATCTGCCTTTCAGCCCAGAGATTATAGGTTCAAGGGGTCAGCTCTTATTAGATCACGACCATGTTACTTCATATGACACCAGTACTGGTTGGTTCCTGGAAGCAGACTTCTAAAGTGATTAATACAAGTTGCAAGAACTTGTTTCCAAATCGAGCTTAAATAAATAGATATGTTTTAAGTTATAGACTTAACAAATTTTCAATACCCTTCTCACATACAGGTATACAACAGTTACTTGTAACAAGAACGTCGCGGAAGTTTCTCATCTCTCGTTTGACTCCCGACATGGAGAATAAACTTGTTTTCTTGACCACCAAAGTGAAATTTGGACAACACAAAAGATACCAGGACTGGTTCCAAAGACAGGTACGTTAGTTATTAGTTCTTTCTTTTTAAGCTACATACACAGTCTTATGATTTATATATTCCTTTATGTATGTATGAACATTACTGAGGCATAGAGGGGCTTCTTATTTCTTTTTTGCCTGTAGAACTGAAAAGTCTCAATATGACAAGCATATTTGATGTTAAGTTTTATTTCGTTCAAACAAATAAATTTTCGTCTAAAATGAGATAACTTCCGCCGCGCATGCGCCTCACTCAATTTATTATTGGAACTCATAAAATTCCAATTATACTTCAACTTACCAGGTAAGTCTCGTCTAATTTTAAAATTAAACGGTAGCAAAAAGAAAAAATTTTTATAATATCTCTATTGCAGTACTTGGCCACTCCTGAAAGTCAATCATTACGCTGTGATCTTATTCGCTATATTTGCTGTGTTTTTCACCCATCCAATGAATTACTGTGTTCTGACATAATACCTCGCTGGGCTGTGATTGGTTGGCTCCTACAGACGTGTACGGTAAGTTTCGAGTAATTGTTGTTCGTATCATTTCTGAAGTAAGGTATTTTACCTACTCAACTTAAAGACAGTCTGCTTATAAAATAATGTCTTGCAAATAATTTGTAAAGCCGTAGCAATGTTATTTCCTTGAAATATTGAGTGTCAAAAGGTAATTTTATCAAATTTAATCATACAGACTAAGTTTATGTTCAATACAGAATCAGAGAATGTATTGAACCATTTTACTTGAGCCTTTGGCAATCATTACATTATTTTATTCAACAGGTTCCATTAATTTAGTACTGAAGCTGCACGAATATAATATTTGATATATCAAATACCCAAATTAGGAACTGTGTACAGTAAAAAAAATCTTTTTTCTTTGACATTCCTACTGTGTAACATCAACATTTAGTTTTTGCCTGTATAATGCAAGTGAAGTCACATCACATTATGTGTACATCCATGTGATATCATTTTCAAAAGAGACATGGGTATGTGTGTAAGAAGTTATATTGCGTTTACAATTTTAATTAGAATTATTCTATATATATTTCAGTCAAATGTGGCCGCCTCAAATGCCAAGCTGAGTTTGTTTTATGACTGGATATTTTTCGATCCAGAAAAAGACAGCATAATGAATATTGGTGAGAAAACTGATTTTGAACGTTATCTCCTTAAATAGACACATAAAAACTGTAGACAAAAACCGCAACTAACTGCAGTCTTCAAAGTTAACTTGCCATTACATTCTATTCTTTTAAAATTTTGAAGCTGTTATATTGGATAAGAATTGTTTTTCAAATGCAAAAAGAGCGTTTAAAGAATGGGTCTATTAATGTGATAACAGGACTGATAGCTGTAGTCTTGAACAAATCTACTTTTAGCTCAAATGTAATTTTACGAACAAGTATATATTAGTGTTCATTCAAGCTGTTGCTACAGAAATTAGAAACTTCAACGGGAGCGATAGCATGTTTCTTTGGGGGTATATAGG